ATGGGGGGCTACAAAGGCATGAAGTGACTGACTTACAGGCTTTCAAGAGGGAGCTTAGTTTCAGAGGGTGTGGGGGAAGTTAGACTCTTCACTGAGTGGAAAAAAAAAAAAATGAAGTGGAACACATTAAACATTGATATCCTAGCCATTAGTGAGCTGAAGTCGACTAATCTTGGCCATGGTGAATCTGACACATGGTTTACTATACCATGAATGACAAATTGAAGAGGAATGGGATCGCATTCATCATCAAAAGAACATATCAAGATCTGTCTTGAAGTACAATGCTGCCTATGATAGGAATATATCCGTATGCCTACAAGGAAGACCAGTCAATACCACTATTATTCACATTTACACACCAAACCCTAAAACCAATGATGATGAAATAAAAAAGAATTCTATCAATTTCTTCAGTCTGAAATTGATCAAACATGCAATCAAGATATATTGATAATTACTGGCGATTAGAATGCGAAGATTGGAAACAAACAGAAAGGATTAGTAGTTGGAAAATATGACCTTGGTGACAGAAAGAGTGCTGGAGATCCTATGATAGAATTTTGCAAGACCAATGAGTTCTTCATTGCAAATGCCTTTTTTCAGCAACATAAAAGTTGACTATACACATGGACCTCACCAGATGGAAAACACAGAAATCAAATTGACTGCATCTGTGGAAAGAGATGGTGGAAAAGCTCCATATCATCAGCCAAAACAAGGCCAGGGGCATACTGTGAAATAGACCATCAATTGCTCATAAGCAAGTTCAAGTTAAAGCTGAAAAAAATTCAAACAAGTTCACGAAAGCTAAAATATGACCTTAATAATACCCTACCTGAACTTAGAAACCATCTCAAGAGCAGATTTGATTAAAGGAGATGGAGATAAGGCTCCTGTGTTTCAATAGTGAATAATTGCTATCAGGACTGGCTGTGAGTGTTGTGAATGTAAACGTTGACATTTTGTAACAAAAAGAGTGGAGTGGTTGATCTTGCAGCCCAGGAGAGGAGGACCCTGGGACCATCAAGGGAGAAGAGGGGAGTGTGGACCCTATTCAAAGAAGCAGTGATGTTAGAGATGGAGGCAGAGTCAATGACGTGGAGAGATGAAGTGGAGGGAGAGGGGCTGTGTGCTGATGGCCAGGGAGCACGCTTGTGGGGCGTACCCTTTGGTGTTTGAATAGTTATATATTCCTGAGTGCTTTGGTGTATATAAAAAAAAAACAGAGGGAATGGGAGCAAATGCTGTTGAATGATGATACATGGAGAGGATTGTAATCATTGCAACAAAACGAAATACGATAGGATAAATGTAAAGCTGATGTTCTCCCATGTAACTATCACTCAATGCACAATAAAAATAAGAAGAAGAAGAAGAAGAACAGATTTGATGTATTAGACAATAAAGATCAAAAACCAGAAGAGTTGTGCAATGACATCAAGAACATCATACAGGAAGAAAGCAAAAGGTCATAAAGAAGGTAAAGATCATGGATGGCAGAAGAGACTCTGAAATTTACTCTCCAGCATATAGATGCTAAAGCCAATGGAAGAATGAGGAGGCAAAAGAGCTGAACAGAAAGTTTCAAAGGTCAGCTCGAGAAGACAAGGTCAAATATTATAACGAAATGTGCAAAGATATGGACTTAGAAAACCAAAAGGGAAGAACATGCTCAGCGTTTCTCAAGCTGAGGGAACTGAAGAAAAAATTCAAGCCTCAAAATTTGTTATTGAAGGATTCTCTGGGAAAATTATTGAATGATGCCTAAAGCATCAAAAGAAGATGGAAGAAATACACAGAGTCACTGTACCAAAAGAAAATGGTCTATGTTCAACCATTTCAAGAGGTAGCGTATGATTAAGAACCAATGATACTGAAGGAAGAAGACCAAGGTGCATTGAAGGATTTGGCAAAAAATCAAGGCACCAGGAATTGATAGAGTACAAATTGAAATCTTTCAAGAAAGTGAGGCGACACTGGAGGCACCCACTCATCTATGCCAAGAAATTTGGAAGACAACTACATGGCCAACTGACTGGAAGAGAACCATATCTGTGCTCATTCCAAAGACAGTGACCCAGTGTTGTGCGAAAATCATCAGACAATATAATTAATACAGCATGTAAGTAACAATTTGCTAAACATAATACAGAAATGGCTGCAACTATGCATTGACAAAGAACTTCCAGCAGTTCAAGCCAGATTCAGAAGAGGACGTAGAAAGAGGAATAGCATTGCTAATGTCAGATAGAACTTGGCTGAAAACAGAGAATATCAGAAAGAAGTTTACCTGTGCTTTATTGACTATACAAAAGTTTTTCAATTGTGTGTATCATGACAAGCTATGGACAACATTGTGGAGAATGAGTATTCCAGAACACTTAATTGTGCTCATGAGGAATCTGCACCTGGACCAAGAGGCAGTTGTTCGAACAGAGCATGGGAACACTGAATGGTATAAAATTAGGAAAGGTGTGAGACAGGGTTGTATTCTTTCACCATAATTATTCAACCTGTATGCTGAGCAAATAATCCAAGAAGCTAGGTTACATGGAGGAAAATGTGGCATCAGGATTGGAGGAAGATTCATTAACAACCTGTGATATGCAGATGATACAACCTTGCTTGCTGAAAGTGAAGAGGACTTAAAACGTTTACTGATGAAGATCAAAGACCACAGCCTTTGGTATGGATTACATCTTAATGTAAAGAACACAAAAATCCTTGCCACTAGACCAATAAACAACATTCTTATCAGTGGAGAAAAGATTGAAGTTGTCAAAGACTTCATTTTTCTTGGATCAACCATCAATACTCATAGAAGCAGCAGCCAAGAAATCAAACAACATATGGCATTAGGCAAATCTGCTGCACAAGACCTCTTTAAAGTGTTGAAGAGCAAAGATGTCAGTTTGAGGACTAAGGTGTGCCTGATCATAGTCATGGTATTTTCAATAACCTCATATGCATTAGAAAGTTGAACAATGAATAAGGAAGACCATAGATGAATTGATGCATTTGAGTTAGTTATGGTGTTGGAGGAGAATATTAAAAGTGCCATGGACTGCCAAAAGAACAAACCAATCTTTGTTGGAAGAAGTACAGCCAGAATGTTCCTTGGAAGACAAGATGGCAAGCCTTATCTCTCATACTTTGGCCATATTATCATGAGAGACCAGTCCTTGGAGAAGGATATCATGTTTGGTAAAGTGGAGCGTCAGAGAAAAAGAGGAAGACCCCCAGTGGGATGGATACAGTGGTGGCAAAAATGGGCTCAGACTTAGCGACAATTGTGAAGTTGGTCCGAGACCAGGCAGTGTTTCATTCTGTTGTGTATATGAGTTGGTGTCAACTATGAGTTGCTGTCAACTCAATGGCACCTAACAACAACAACAACGAGTTGTCTGTTAAGTCGGAAGGAAAAGAGCCTTGGCTTCAAAATTTTTTTAATTTTAAAGCTATCCCTACCAAAGAAAACACTTGTGTTCCAATGGTTCTGATAATATTCTAAGGTATGTTATCCTCCTTCTTCAGAGCAAAGAGGTTCCACTGGGAAACTAGTCAGTCCCGTTGTCCTTGAAGCACGTAATTCTCTCCCATCCCATTCTTCCTTCTAAAATATTGGGATCTATTTTCATCAGTCAATGTTCCTTTAAACGGAATGATGATAATAGCCTCCGTGGCCAACCTTGTGGGATTCTGATGGGCACTTGCTGCATGCTGTCAAGTCGGTTCTGACTCATAGAAATCTTATAGGGCAGAGTAGTAAGCTGGAGTCTTCACCAGAGCAGATCCCCTGATCTTCTCTCCACAGAGCAGCTGCTGGGTTTGAACCACCATCCTTTTGGTTAGCAGCCCAGCACTTAAACATTGCATTGTGACACCAGGGCTCCTTTCTGAAGGACAGCAAAAACTTTCAATTTAATAGCTTTGTCAATAAAAGAAAATCACCATGGTCATGCAAATCCCTTCTATTGGGTAAAATAGACTAAGCCCAGTAGACACAGGGAACCCAGGGTAGATCTTCCAAATTAGCTCCTTTATTGGACCAAAAGAACAAACAAATCTGTTTGGAGAAAAGTGCAGCTGGATTGTTCCTCTGAAGCAAAGATGGAAAGACGTTTTCCCTCATATCTCAGACATGTCAGGTAGGACCAGTTCCTGAAGAAGGACATCACACTTGGGAAAGTGGAGGGTCAGTGAAGAAGAGGAAGCCCTCCAGTGAGATGCTTGGCAAAGTAGCAGCAGCAATGAGTTCAAACATAACAATTGTGAGGACTGGGCAGTGTTTCATTCTGTCTTATGAGTTGGAATAGACTCAATGACGCCTTATAACAACAATAGTCTGGCCTCAACAGGTAACATATTTATAACATTTTACATAGACATCTAGTCCACACACACACACACACACACATACACACACCAGTTCTTGGTCCTTGCAGAGCAAAGCATACGAGATTGCTATGCTACTACAACAAAAGAAAGTCTTAGGAGAGATGATGGTGTTGTGTTGCAACCCCACACTTAATACATTTAACGCATGCAAAACCAGCTACACATGTTCTTTCATGTTCTGCTATTCTTCAAGAAGACATAAGAATCCTGAATGTGTATGTGCTGAACAACAGAGCATCCAAATGGTGGTGGTGATGGTGTGCCGTCACTTCTGAGTCATAGCAACCCTGTCTGTATAAGGTTTTCGAGGCTGGAAATCTTTACAGGAGCAGAAAGCCTCATATTTCTCCCATGGAGCAACTGGTGGATTCGAACTGCTGATCTTGCAGTTAGAAACCCAACACATAGCCCACTACACTACCAGGGCTCCTAAGTATATCAAAATATACAAGGCAAACCAGATAGCTGTAAAACTAAAGAGACAGATTCATTATGATAGCTGGAGACCGAACCACCCCTCTCTCAGTCATTGACAGACCAACAGACAGAAAATGAGTATGGTTACAGCAGAACTGAACAGCAGCATCAATCAATGTATTAACTGATTTTAGATTTGATTCCATTTTAGATCCTGATCACTCCAAGAGGAGTTTGTACATAAGCAAACTTGATTGGAGGAAACCAATCAAGGGGCATTTCATTTCATACACGTGGACATACTGGAAATCTGTGGAATATATCTTATAGTAGAATACACTGGATTTCAAGTTCACATGGAACATTCACCCAAACAGACACACTTAGGAAATGTTTTCTGACTGAGTGATCAAATGAGTGAATATGGCCACGTTCTGAACCAAACAGTATCCCATCACAAATTAAAAAGAATAGAAATCATACAAAATATACTCTTGGATTGGGATGGAACCAAACTAAAAACCAGGCACAGAAAGAAAGCTAGAAACTCCAAACTCATCTGGAAATTAAGGTGCACACATCTAAATAGCAAGTGGGTCAAGGAAGTCTCAACAGACATTAAGGGAGATTTTGAAAATGAAAATGTAATGAGAGAGAGAGAGAACTGAAATATTGGAGGAGATTCCAAAATATGCTTCTCAAGTGCTCCCCGATGAAAACCATGGTCTTCCTGCTGGCTTCCATCCCTGCTCCTCACATGCTATGAGCAGCTCCTGGGGTCCAGAGGGGTCCCTTTGACTCCTCAGAATTTTCTCGCTACATCTATCTTTAGAACATTTCCTGATCCAGGACTGTGGTCTCATACACTTAGACACAAGGGCTGTGGTGTGCTGGCTAGGTTTCCCTCCAGCTGCTTGGGAGTGTGGAGATCTCACAGCCATGGGAGTGTGGAAGCTCACAGTCATGGGAGTGGGGAGATCTCACAGTCATGGGAGTAGGGAGATCTCACAGCCATGGAAGTGGGGAGATCTCACAGCCATGGGAGTGGGAAGATCTCACAGCCATGGGAGTGGGGAGATCTCACAGCCATGGGAGTATGGAGATCTCACAATCATGGGAGTGTGGAGATCTCATAGCCATGGGAGTGGGGAGATCTCACATGGGATGACTGATCTATGCTGGGCGTAAACAGAGCCCTCACCCAATTTAGTACAGCTCAGCTGGCCTGAGACGTCCTGTCAATTTCGGGTTCCTCTCACTCTCCACTGATTCTCAGAACCTTAAAGATCAGCATCTCTGCTGAAGAAATTCTGGGGGAACCGACTTGCCCCTTCTCTGCACCTCCACCTCAGGGGGGTGAGTTACAGAGGTTCTGGGCTCAGGTTCCTGGCACCTGTCCCTGTGGAAAGCAGCGACGTGCTTCCTCCTCTGTGACTCTCTGATCTCATCTCGGCCTCCAGCTGAGAGAATTGAGAAGTCGGGGTGACAGGAGTCTGTCTGAGGGGTGAACCTCCTGCAGTGTGAGGGGAGGGATCTGCAGGGGCTGGACTGTCTCCCCACCCACACAGCCTTCTCAGGAAGGAAGGAGGCCAGGCAGGGTCTTTACTCTGCATCGGAGGCGACCCTAGTATCCAACAGCGGCAGCTCCCTGCTGTTCTTAGTGTCTTCCAACAGCAATTTCTTTTCTTTTCTTTTCTCTTTAATAGGAAAACCTAAAACCCTCAGAGAAATAAAAACATTTCTTTTTAAACCAGTGCTTCCGGTGGACTCCTACTCATGGATACCTCTTATACAGTCTAGTAGAGCTAAGTTCTGTGGGAGCTCAAGGAATGATTTTACAAAAGTAGACTGACAGACGTTTCTGCCAAGGCATCTCTGGGTGGAATCGAACCATCAGCCTTACAGTTAGCAGCTGAGAGCATTACCCATTTGCAGCCCCCACCAACTTGGTTCCCAAAGGACTATTCAAGGCAGCTAAGGCCTTAGAAGTCAGAACTAGACCCAGGTGCTTCTGAAAGTTGCCAGCCAATCAGAAAGCATAGAAGAAAAAACAGCATCATCAGAAGGGGGTGATGCGGCTAAGCCTGTGGCTCTGACTCTTGGGTTTGCATTCTGGCTCTCCCCCATGGATGCTCCGATCCCAGTGAAGCTGTAAACACAAGAAATAAACGCATTCTGCACGATGCAATTAGTAACACAGAGTTACCTCACAGGACTTTGCGAGGCAGGAGTAAGATCAGCGTGAGGCAAGGATCTGAGAATGATGCCTACTTAAATTTCACACCTTACATGGCTTCCTGGGGCTGTCTAGTCAATTGACCTAATACTGTTTTCAAAGTTACTGTTCCACCCCACAGTTCAGTGAGTAATGCCTGGGGTCTTAAAAGCTTACCAGTGACCATCCAAGATAAAAGAATGGTCTCTGTTTGCTTGGCACAACGGAGGAAGACAGAGATCCAAGAATCAGAGAAGGAACTAGTCTGTAGATCCAAGAAATGGATGGTACCCAACTACCATTACTAAATGTTTTGATCAAGGGATCAATAGATGACCACTGATCAAAAGGAGGAAGATGTGGAACAGAATTTCAAATTCCCACAGAATCCAGACTTACTGGATATACTGAGACTGGAGAAACCCCCATATCTATTACTCTGAGAAAATCTTCAAACTGTGAACCCTAATTCTCCCCTGAAGTCAACTTGAACCGAAACAGCTGTATAACTAAATTCGTAGAGACTCTTCAACATCAGCATGGCACCTTTTGAAAGAGTTAGCTCTAGAGATCAAGTGGTCACGCCGCCTGGTCCTTCTTCCTGTTCTACTCTTAGTCTGCAAGCTCCGCTGAGACCTGTCCACCATAGGAGACCCTGCTGGATTTGAAACACCAGACTGACAGATGGGTGGCAGATTTTGCAAACCAAGTAGCCACTCTTAATGCTCAAATAAAGAAAATCCTTAGATACAAAGACTAAAGGATAAAAATTTTAAAAAATAAATAATAAAAGGGTGGAAAAAATATAACAAGCTAACAGCAATCAAAAACAAGCAGGAGTAGCAAGATTAATTTCTGATAAAGTGGACTTTGAGGTAAAGGTCAGCATAGGAAACATAGAGGGACATCATATAATGACCAAAGGGTCAACTGAACAACAGGACATAAGCATAAAAATTGTCTATGCACCTAATGAAAGAAGCTTCAATACATAAATCAGGCTCTAACAGAATTGAGGAGTCCTGGTGTGGCGCTGTGGGCTAATGCGTCAGACTGCAAAGTCATTTGAACTGCAAGGTCAGTGGTTCAAGCTCACCAGCTGCTTCTTGGAAACCCTATACACGGTCACTATGGGTCGGAATCAACTCAACGGCACTTAACAACAACAACAACATAATTAAAGAGCAAAATGGGCAGTTCTACATGACAACGGGAGATTGTAATAGACCATGGTGGATGAAGAACAGCAAACTAGATGGAAACTCAACCAATACACAGAAGAACCCCACAACACAATCAACCAGTTTGAACTCAGATAAATGTTTGGAACACTCAACACAACACAATGTACATTCTTTTCCAGCACACGTGGAACGTTCTCCAGAATACAGCATATATTGGGCCATAAAGCAACCTCAAAAAATGAAAGAAAGACAAAGAATTCCTTTAAGAAATCAATTAGAACATACATTGGAAAATGGGCCAAAGACCTAACAAATACTTTGCAAACAGATTATCCAAATGCTAAGTTTGACCGGGCCATCAAGTCAGTTCCGATTCATAGCTACCCTGTATAGTGCTTCTGAGGAGTGGCTGGTGGGCTTGAACCACCAACCTTATGGTTTGCAGTCCAGTGTTTATCCAACAGTGCCACATCAGAACTCTAAACACTAAAATAGACATAGGTAAATAAATAAAGTATAGATTAAAAATAAATAAAATAAACCTAACTGGAGTCCTAGTGCGGCATTGCAGGATAATGCTCTGGACCACAAGGTCAGTTTGAACCACAAGGTCGGTGGCTCAAGCTCACCAGAAACCCTACACAGGATCGCTATGAGTCGGAACCAACTCAACGGCACTTAACAACAGTAACTATAACCCTAAAACTAAACCAAGCCCTACTCCTAGCCTCACCTTATCCCTAACCCAAAAGGAAAATAAGACCCAAAAGGCTAGGTCCATTCCCTTGCTACTCAAAGCATGTTCTCTGGACCACTAGCATCCATGTTACCTGGGAGATTGTTGGACACGCAGAATCTCAGGTCTTGTCCAGGCCTACAGTGTCAGAATCTTTTATCCACCAGTGACTCAGATGTCCGTTAAGGTTTAACAGCCACAGATCCTATTTAGTGGGGCTTCCACCTCAAGAAAGGATGGGAAATGAGTTTCTGAGTCCTGCCATGGGGAGGTAGGAGTCATGGATGCACACAAAGAAGGCCAAGTGTCTTCTATGTCCTTCTCCTCAAAGTGTGGTTCATGGACCAGAATCACACGAATGGTCATCCCCTGGAAGCTTTCTAGAAGTAGAGAATCCGGGCCCCACCACAGAAGATGCATGTTAACAAGCTTCCATGTGACTGGGAGAGACAGTGAAAGCTGGGAAACAAAGGTCCACATGATTCCAACCCTGGTGTATGGAAACAGGATGGTGCTGACCCAGCCACCATCATGACATCACCAACATAATGTCTCCAGAAACACAACACTGTGACTTAAGCTTGTTAACTGTTAACTAGACAAAGGATCTCAGATAAATCAGGGATTTTTAAGGACGCCGAACTGGTGACTGATAAAAGAAAGACAACCATAAGATGGAATGGAAACAGGAAA